TCGGCATAAAGCTTCACGAAACAAAAAATACACGCAACGCACAAGGACACAAAGATCGGGCGATGAAGGTATATCTCGCTGTTCCATTATTATATATTTTTCATCTTAATAGTTTTTCGATATTAGGCAGTTCTTTGGCGACAAGGGGCGCAGAAGCAAATGGTAAAGTTTACTTGTCTAGAGAGAAATTTATACTTCTCGTAATACTCAATTTTTTTTATATGGCAGTGGCAATTTGGGACCATCAACGAAGACGGATCTCCTAATGGTTGTTATGCCCCAAACATCCTCAACTATTTAATCAACATCCCCGTTCGCGAGGTGTTTTATGATCCGCCGGTTCCTGCCATTGCATATACACCATTACCAACACCTCCTGCTGTATTGATGGGTACTAATATTACCATCGACTTATATGAAGTTCAGCAGTCAGTTTTACTTTTGCAGGAAAAGTGAAAAACATCAACCTTTAACTTCACAAATCCCTTCGCTTTGATTTATTACAAATTTATAAGTTACCCGATGAGAATTAGTGTGCCACTCTGTAGGGTGTTAATATTTTAATTCGATCATGAGAGTTAATCATCATTGTCCCTTTATTATCGCCGAATGAGTCGATGAAATCTTGATCCATGTGTTTTAGCATGAATGTACTGGCTCTCGCCACCTGAAAATCTGAACCCGTACAAGACTTTTACGATTGGCTAAGAAAAAAATCCCTTTATTATCACGTTTGCGTGAACAACTATTCACGATCGCCAAAACTCCTATGAGAAGCTATCCACAACACTTTGGATTTGTGTGCCATCAGATTCGAAATTGTGTTTGCACTATATGTCTGAATTCGTTTGATTTTTTTCACTCCAATCTGACTAAACAAAGTATAGATAGCTCTTGCCTTCTGGGTTTTTTTTCGAATAAATTATAAACCTTTCTAGCTTTCTGAGTTTGTTTTTGTAAAGTTTTACGCTTGGCATTTAGTTGTGCAACAATAAAATCATAGATCTGCCCTTCTCTCCAATATTGTCAGGTTTCATGAGATCCCTAACCTGGTTGTCAAATTCTATAATATAATAATACCAGCACGTAATTTCATCTTGATTAACTTTAATCGCTTGCTTTTCCGCATCACAAGCTTTCTGGTACAAACTGGTCAAATTTAGTAATATTTTGCTTTTTGATGCAGAAAATAAAATAACATGATTTTTGGCGTACTTTTCATCAAAATAGTTCGCTGAAATTTCAGTCACGTGCTTTTCTTCCTTGGATGAAATCATTTCTCGAATTAAGCCCTGTTCGTTTTTCCGCTCATGGGAAGTAGATGCAGTATTCTGGGAAATCGAAGGTACCTCCTGGCTAGGTGATCCACACTGAAGCTTCTCCTCATGCTTTCTCTGCCTGATCCCATCACTAACCCTTTTCTTATGCGCTTCATCCAGGAACTCATCGATCATCTTATCTTCCAATGATTTGGAATTTGAGGCGATATCAGATATATCAGATGCGTCTTCTGACATTTGTTTAGATGTATTATCTTGCGATAAAGAGGTTGCAGAGGGTGATGCAGAGCATCGAATCTCCGATTCTTCAGATTTTGTTGGGTTATGTTCTATTTCAGGAATAATTGTTTCTTCAGATGCGATAGCATTGTGTAAACTAGCATCCTCGCTCCGTAAGTCGATAGGTTGCAGAATATCTTTTGTAGAAGGTGCTTTCGGTACATTAGTAATGACCTGAGTCTGCTTCTGTTCCAATTTCGTGACTCTATCTTTAAGCTCAGTATTCTCGGCAGTGAGCTTGGCAGTATCCGTTTTATTTTTTCTCTCCAACTCTTCAAACCTGGTTTTAAGCTCAATGCTCTCTTCTATGACCTGTCTTAACTTCACATTTTCAGCCTCGATCTCAGCATATTTCTTTCTAAGTTCAGGAATTTCGGCGTTCTTCTTTCTAAGATTAGTAATCTCGACTAAGAGCTTCGAATTTAGTTTTTTCAAATAATCAATCTTAGACTGTGTGTTTGCCATTTTTTAAATAAAATATAGATAAGTTCAAAAGTGAATTTAAAAAATTATCATCATACAAAAATTAATTATCGTAAAAAGACCATTTAGACCTGATTGCTTTATTGATACAATATAAAAAAATACATGTGAAGCGGGTGCTATCTACCCACTATTTCTTAGTAATTTTTTCTTGTACGCGTCGCTTCTTATTTTCAGGTTCATCACACGCTAACACCCTATCTTTCAATAACCCTACGACTATACTGATTACCTGTTTTATATCTCCCCTCAGATTTTCCTGATTGCTTTTAAGCGCCTTTTTCGTAAGATTTATCTGATATTCACTATTGCTTGTACAAAAAATACCTTCGGAAGTGAACATAATAAAATGCCAATCCGCACCTGTTGACACAATCCCATATAGATAATCGTAATCCTCGCTCTTGAATGCCTCATCAGCCGTCCGCTTCTTTTTATTCATATGGAACGAACTTTCAAGTTGTTTAATGTTCTGTAGATATCCTATCTTGACGTTTCGTGGTTTTCCCTCGGTAATACACAAAAGATCTTCCATTCCTGTTATTGCGTAATCCACCCGACCGGAGGCTTCTTCACCCGAAATATCTCTCTGCAACTCTATATTGATTTCTTTATTTGTTAGCCTTCTTGTGATTGCGATTGATGCGTGCAAATAAATTCGCAACGTGTCGCCTCATTAGCCTCTATCATTGATTTTACATTCGTTAATCGTAGTATTATTTCGTTCATGCACTGTTCGAGGGCTTTGTCGTCATCATCGATTTCCTCGAACACTGTACAACAGAAAAAACGTTAACATATAATCTATATGTGTGTGAAAAATTCTACTTTTGCCAAGAAAAAATAAAATAAAGTACCACATACCTGGATTAAACTGCTTGATGTTCGTTATATCCTCACCATTAACTTTATATTTTCGGAGCACGTCTTTTAACTCATCCAATGTTTTATATGACGAGAAGCTTCTTAATTTTTGTTCTGATATTTCATCGATAAAATCTGCAAGTCTTTTTGCTGGGCCAGCTTTTAATCCATAACTGCGAAACTCCTCTTTAGATGTGTTAAGAAAGTCACGGCCAGAAATCCTTTCATTACGTAGGATCTTGAAATCTGCTTCTATAAGTTTTAAATCTCGTCTTTGCAAATAATCAATAAGCTCTTCCGTGTCCAGATCTTTTACCACGTCTGCCATCGTGCGAGTTGACCTTTCTTCCGTCAAAGTAGAGGATGTAGAAACTGGCGACGAGGGTAAGGAGGACGAAGACATTGTTTATATTAATGAATGGCGTAAAAAAATCTGGTTTATGTCGGCGGCTTATGTATCTGACCAAGTGAAACTAGATAATGCAAGGGAAGAGAATGAAAAATTTTTTCGTTTATTTTTAAGTAGATCAGTGGATTTTTATAGTATATGGATTACGCAACTCGCATAGATTGGCAAGTACACGACGATCCCGGAGATTGCGGAGATTTCGACTTCCTAAGACATAAGTCCCTTGACATACGCACTAATAGAGATTGAAGAGCTAACCTTCCTTATTGCCTTTTTGAGATTCGTTTACGCTGGTTCTTATCGCAGAAGCATGTTTAATATGGAAGCAATTTCAATAAAAAATAAAGCGGAAAATAACGATTATCTATGTTCTACGAACTTCTACGTCGATCTCTGATTTGCAGATTTAAAACACGTGATATGATTTTCGTCGCTTTTTTTTACCCGAGACGAATACAAACAGTCTATTTCTTACCTGTCTCCCTGATAAGGAAAACACGAAATGAGTTTGAAAGGGTTATAAGAGAAATGGTCTTATCAATTCTCATTAGTAGCTTTATCAAAATTCATATGTCACAATGACTTAACATTTCCCAGATCATCGTGATCATTGACTTTTTTACTTTGTAAGAGAGATCGTCAAAATTAAGGGGTATTTAACCTGTTGCGATCACAGACAAAACCTAACTCATGCTAAGTGATTAACCGAAAAAATAACAAAAAATACTTGGTTTTTGGGATAGACTGAAGGAATGGGATGCTATAAAATACTTCATTTTTTTCTCTTGTAAGGTGGATATCAATAACATTTTCTACCGCTAATCCCAAAGTAATGTATCACTATTTATTGCTTCGCACCCACAGGTTATACCACTATTTAATTAAGTTTATAAATAGTTTTATATTTTGTATTTAGGAGCGTAATAATGAGTAGTGATAAGAAAATTGCTGTTAAGACCAGCGATTCCTCCACCTCCAAGAATAATGTTTCCAAGACCAACTATTCTAACAACTCATCGTCATCTAAATCTAATAAGATATCTAAACCTGTAGTAGTCACTAAAACTGGTAAGAAAACTTTATATTGCGTAATTATGTTTTTAGTAAAGATGTTAAGATAATAGTTTATTAATACTTATTCTGTTAAAATTAGTTAAGTTAAAAGTGAAACAAGGCGGAAAAAAGATCTCTCATACCCAAGTTTCTAAAACAAAATCCAATGATGTTTCATTGCTGGATAATATCGATTCTATAAAAAAGATATGTCAATAATGGATATATTTTTCTTATCTGTATATCATTAGGTAATCTTTTTAGCTTGAATATATGTGTGCAGTGAAATAAAGAGATCCTGCTATATATGTGGATTTATTGCAAAGCAGATCATAGGCAATTCTCTGAATCATGGCTCTTCTAGCCTATACATGACATCACCCCCTGAGGCCCATTATAACGTGATGTAATTTCGCAGTTACGATGTGATTATAATTATTTTCAGATTAGTATAATTGTGGGTTATTTCCTCAATAGCTTTATTACTAATCGAACAATTACCAAGCTCCAGATATCTAAGTTTTGGGCATGAGCAAGTAATTTTAGTAATGCATTGATTAGTGAGATATATACATGAATTAAGACTCAGATGCTATAGTTTTGGAGAAAATCTCGCAATTTCTGGCCATTTAGGGACACCTTCTTGAGGCATAATTAGTATATTAGTGAAACCCTTACTTTTATCAAGAATAAGAGTGCGTATGTCTGGATATGAGCGTAAAATCGTACTAATCAATGCATCAGAGATTTTTAAACCTTCCAATCTGAGATATAACATCATTGAACAATAGAGAGGTTTTGTCTTTCCACATATAACTTTTTTGAATTTCAATAATCACCAATAAATAGTCTGAGATTTCTTTCGACCATACGGACCTCTCTGATAATCTTCATTAAAAAACTCAACGCGATGCCATAGAATAGGAGTACCACAGTGATATCAAAACCGATTAACAAACAAAGTGGGATAGAGAGATCAATCGATTTCTAAAAAATATAAGATCTGTTCTAGTAATTCTGGTAAATCAAAAATATTCAGATCCTTTGAGGAATCGGAGATTCGATACTTATTTCGGAGAAATGGCACTTTCGTGCCTGCATCATCATTGCTCCGTAATAGTTGCACCATTCTCAAGAATGTATATTATATGTATATCTTTATCAAAAAAAACAGACACAAAATATTCTGCTCCGCAGACTAATATTTGAATAATTAATTTAGGCACACTTTTAAATCCGTATTAATAAAATAATTTAACATTTACCCGGATATTTCTTGGTAACGATGATAAAGATTTTACTATGAAAGTGGTTAAAGCAAAGAAGTGTGATTAGTTATCATCATCATAGAGATAGAATGGTCTTGCTTGCTCTGAAGTCTGCCCTTTTTTCCGATAATTTACTATAACATAATTCTGTACTGAAGAAGTATGATTATTACAAGAATGCCGAAGTGCTTCCCCAGTAATTGTATAAGCGTGGGCTATATTTTTCACTCCATTCGTCACTACAGCATAAACTGCTTCTAATTTATGTAAATATCTAGGAATTAAATTATAATCTTTTAAGAATTTATTGAACTATTTAACTCCCGGCTTACCTGGATCACCCATTCGACCAGAAGATATGGCATTCTATATTCAGGTTAGTAATTCCTTAGCTCATTCTTGATCCTTCTCTATAGATCTAAATTTTCTAGGAATATCCACTTGACCCCAATTCTTCACATAATCCATCACTCCAGCATCTGTAATACGTAAAGTTTTAAGTTCAGCAGGATAGATACAAAGCATCACCATAACATCAGCAAGAGCCCAATAATTGGGCGGAGTTTTTAAATCATACGCATCTAATCTTTCTTTGACTGATTCTAATATAAATTCATCTGGATAATTGATACGTTTAGTTTCAGCCTTTTTCCGATTGACACTCTGGATTTTGTTGGCATCTTCTGTAATATCTGGAAATTTCATAGCCTCAATTATCTCAAGTGATACATTAAGGTTCCTTAATTCTCTATGAAGACGAGTGAGACGTGATAAGCCAGCATTAGCATTTTTTGCTAATAGAGCTAAGGCATAAGCTTTAGCTCTTACATCTCTAGTACTAAGTTTATCTCGTAAAATCCATTGCGCCATATCTCCAATAGTCTCTTCCTCTATTTCTTTCGAGAGTTTGTTGGAAATCACAATATTTACATTTTTATCTGAGGTAGTTACACTGTGACTACTTTCATTTTTCTGGATTGAGAATAAGGCATTCACTTGATCTTCACTAAAGCCATATCTATTCTGTAAGATTCGTTTAGTTATCTCTCTAATAATCTCCTCTTCCAAATCTTTTGGGGGTGAAGCTATAGCTATTTTGCAACTGCCCTCGATAATATTTATAATCTTGGCCTTACTATCTCTTTGATTAGGTATTAATATACTTACCTGATCACTGCTAAATTTAAAACTCTCTCAAAGACGTCATCAACCTTGATTCTGTTTTTTATCATCAGTAAGATTTTCAAGAAATTCTGAGGTGTATTTACTGAGCTTAGATATACTCATCTCGTTATTGAGATTGTATTTTTTAACAATTTTAGTTACAATAGCTGACATGATCTAATATTGAGTAGGTTATGAATAATTCTTTAGGTTATTTACACTATAAAAAATATTTTTTCAAATCGAAATTAATTATCTGCGGATAGCTATACTCAAAAATTGAATGGGTCATGATTATTGTAATTCTATCAGAAAATAGACGCAAACAAGACATGGAATAGATTGAAAGTTTTAATTTATATATGCCAGATATATGATACACGTCAATGTCTTGGATCAGATCTGTTAATTTGAAAGTTACCAATATATAGGATATAATGAAAAAAAATTATAGCTTCGAGTTGTGGCGACTCAGGCTATATTAACATCATTTGGTACTATATTTATTTTTTATGTGTCAAAGATACTAGCTTTACTATAATGCTTGAAATAGATTCCAGTATTTTTCTATACTTATGGATCATTTCTTGTAAATATCAGGTCTATTTTCCATTATATCAATCAGTGATATCATAGCTGGATGGGACAGAGCATTCATGAATCTAATTTGCTCAGGATAGTAATAATCCATAATATCTGGTAATTGTAGAAATTTGGCTAGATCTTTTACGTACTTAAAACCATTGCGTATTAGTCTGTGGAATGTTGGTCCATTATGATCAATCTCTCTTTTGGTTAATAAGTTGACTATTTTCTGGGGTGTTTCCATTAGGAGTTATTAATTATGAAAATAATAATAGTTAATTATTACTTATGAAAATGATAAGTTTAATTGGTTATTTTTCCTTTTTTTTCCTCTATGTCTCTCAGAAAAAAGATGTATATGTTAACAGCATTTATCTGGCTTCGAGGTTATAGACCGAGAAGGCGGGATACATATCTAGTAAATTGCTTCATATATACAGATATTAAACATGCAGAGTTTCTCTTATACGCTTCTATTTATAATATTTATATGCTCTTTCTCTACCTTGACCACATGGGACACAAAGCTGAAGACTCGATTTAGTTCCTCACCCACATCCTTTACATGGTTGGGGGATTATTAAACTCTTTCGAATCTTAAATGCATGGGTAGCACAATATTATTCTTTTGCTGGGATCTTGCATAAATAGATTTCCCTAACTAATAATCAATTACAAGGCATTTCGATTCGATATCACAAAATGGTTATATTATTCTATTAGTATTAGTACTTTCATATTTAAAATTAAATTTGAGAATGAAAATTTATCAAATATTGTTTTTAAGTATCACAAAAACCAGTATATATAATACAAAGTTTGTATAATATTTTTTATCTAAAAATTTTATATTAGCTAGTTTGTAGGAGCAAAAAATCTCCCTATATCGAAGCTTCTACCTGCAAAATTTACCTATTCATACCTTATCGATTAAGCAATTACCATAACATACCATTTTCCTGGAGTATGTTAACCATTTTTTCCCATTCCTCATCAGTATCCAGCCATGATGAAGTGATTCCATCTTCCTTAAGAGAACGGCAGATTATTTCTTCACTTATTAATCTTTCTCATACTATCATATCCATATATTCACTAGAGTCTTCTTCGGTCTCCTTTGCAAAACTACACATTCTCGCATCAGTCTGCATTCTATTATGGAATGCTATGGAATCGAGCTTATCTTTATCAGTTATAGTAATGAATTTGACAGGATCTTCACCAAGTTCAATAGCTTTTTCACGAAGACGTTTCTCTCATTACTTCCAGATTAAATAACCAGATGAAAGTGAAGAGGGTGATACTTCTGGTTGGAGAGTTGCTTCTTTATTGCTGAATTTGGATTCATCATTTGTAAGTAAGTTGGGAGATATCTCTGGTTCATCATCAACAGGTATGGTGGAAGATGGATCAACTTCATCATTCACTGATTCAATAATCTCAGATTCAGCTTCATAGTCTAAAGGTTCTACACATTCAATCTCAGAAATCATAGATATATTAGTAGACCCAGATAACGAAGCAACTGGATATTCTGGTTGATCTATTATATAGTCAAAGAGAGCCTGGATTGTGTTAGTAAAAGGAGGGGTAGATACTATTTTCTTACTCTTTTCGATATAATCAGTGGTCGATGACCTGGCTATATTTTTCACTGGTTGAGGATTTATTGCAAAGCAATGACCCTTTAGGTCTACAATTTCAGGTATGTTAAATATAGGGATATCTGTGGACACGTTAGAGGTTATCTCGCCTTGAGATGTGTCAGAAAATTCTTCTATATCGATACCTGATTCGCGTAGTTTACTCACGATTTTGGATCGATTAAGGGTATAGATCCAGTCTCTTTTTCCATTGATTCGTACTTGCTTGCGTTCTATACCAATTGTTGAAGGAGTTTTTCCAAATTTTTTGTTAGTAAATAGATTTTCATCATTTCTTTCATACCAAATACGATATTTCTGATATAAATTTGAACATATTGAATTCTCAGTTCTATTTTCAGGCCAAGATAAAATATGATCGATTATAAATCATTTTGGGTTTGGTAAATATTCCAACATTATATCTATTTTCATTTTAGTAGCAGGAATATCTTGTGGATTCCAATCTGAGATATCAAGACTGAGTAAATAAGCCATAACTACATTTGGTGTGTCAGGATGTTCGAGTACTTTGGCCAAATTCTTAAAATATATCATG